GCACAGCATTCAGGGGCTTTCTAGCTCTACTTACCAGAGCTTCTGATATGCTATGTGGTTTTTCTTTGAATATTTAACACCACTTTGGTTGTGGACCGCTGCCAACAACCCATTTGATGACCACAAAATGAGCAGGTAGACAATCAGTGTCACTGTGTCAAAATAAATGGAGACATGTGTTGCTTTCTTCTCTGCAGGAGGGATGAGGATAAGCGTTGCACCCTTACAGAACACATCATTTCCTCCTCTATGCTGCTGATTATCCAACTTGGGCCAGTTGACAGTTTTGTTCTACTCCTCAACAGATTGCGAACTCGGTTCACAAAATTATATAGCATTCTATAATCTGGTGTTTTGTCAGATGAGCAGATAGCCTCATTCAGAAACGATCAAGCAACTGCACCCAAATTAGTCTATATATATTTAAGAAACTGTGTTTCTTATATTTCTTATGTGTTTCTTGTACTTGTGCCAAATAAACTGTTTCTAACACGATGAAAACATGCATATAAGATCAACCATGCTCACATTAATATATGAATGTGTACATATTATTTGGAAGCATTGATCTAGGTTGTATATTTGGTGCTAAATTGAAGTGGACACAATTTGTATTTGTAAAAATTATGATATCCATTCATTATTTTCATTATTTTTTTTCTCCATGTTAGTTATGTGCTACTTTATATTGCTGTAACACAAAACTCCCAGTAAAGTATGTTTGTGGGTTTTATGTGACGAAATGTCTAAGGTGAATAATGACATTTACTTTAACAGGTTTGTACTTTAACAGAACCAGGAACAAGGAGTAACTTAATGAGGGTGCCAGGGCAAAAGGTTAATCTGAAAATGAGTCCTATTCGATGCAGAGAGGAATAAAATGGTGTCCATTCTGAATCTCAGTAGTTGAGAATTGAAAACAAGTTGAGAATGTGTCAAATATTATAAATATTTTCTATTTTTCTTGAATGAAGCTGTTTTAAAGAACAAAACAAAAAAGACAAGGTATGTGCCAAAACCCTCATGAACTGAAGAGACCAGAGTTTCAGAAACACTAACGTCTATTTTGGCTTTATGTTGTAAAAGTATTAATGTCTGAATATGAGTGTGGGTTTTACCACTCAGTAAACCTCTTGGCATCTGCTTTGATTTAATTTGGTACTGAGAAAGCGGGGAAAACAATTTTCTTGCTGAAAAAGTTGCTGTCATTTCAGATTTTTTCCCTTTATATTCCCAAGTGTGTTTGCCGATTTATATCTCTCAACCCGATGCAAGTCGTCATTTAATAAATGTGTTATTTACTGAAGCTTGTCTTGTGTTTTAACCCTCAGGGAAGCGATGCAGACTTTGAAAATGTGTATGAACAGTGCCTACGCTGCTGCAAAGCTTTCCTGGAGAAGAACTCCTAACAAGATCCCACCCTGAACCACATTTAAATCTAAGAGAAGAACCTGCATAATCAACCAACCTGATACATCTTGGTTGCCGCAAAAACACTTATCAATATAACTGTACCATGACTGTCAGAGATCATTACACTGCCATGCTGCAGTATTGTAGATGTTTTATCAGTGACATTTAGGCCAGTGCTGCTTCGTCTGGTTTACTTGGTTTCATTAAAGTGAATCAATTCAATTGAAAAGGTGTTTCATTTGTTCACAAATCCATCTTCTTCACATGTGTAAATTTCCTCAATAGATTAAATGTAGTTTTGTTAAAGCCTCAATAAAAATGGGTGGAGAAAAGGGTGGTGTGTTTATAAAATTTGTGAAAAATGTGAATGCAAAAGTAATGAAATTACTAGGTGAGGCTTTCATATTTAAAAGAAGTTGCTGGGAGCCATGCAAATAAATGCAAGTCAACAATTGAGCACCAGCCTTTCTGCCTGTCATTCCTGTTGCAGTTCACCCATTCCAGCATGGTATAAGATGCTTCCTGTGCAGCAAGTCTAATACTGACACTTTTCCATTATTACATATTTAACAGTTGACTGTTTGTGGTAAACGAGGTGAGGTGATCCTGAGGTCCATGGAAGTTGGAGGTTGCCAACTTTCTGCAGTCAGCAGCGCACCTCCCATCTTCATGTGTCCTTACATTTAACTTAAGAACGCAGCCTGGAAAGCTTGATCCAAACCTCACATCACCAAATTTAATGAAAGGTGTCAGATGTAGTGGTGTAAAGCAGGTTGTCACTTCAATTCTCTTTAGTGATAAATCATGGCAATCCAATAGACAAGCCTGGGTTTGGCAGTTGCTAGGAGAGCAGCACTAGTCTGACTGCATTATGTTAAGTGTGAAGTAGAATGCTGTGGAGACTGATGCAGGGCTGTTTTTCAGCAGTTTGGCTTCACTCCTTGGTTTTAGTGAAAGGATCTGGCAATTCCTCAACATACCAAGACATTTTGAACCTTTGAATGCTCCCCAACTTTGTGGGAACAGTTGGATGATAGCTTCCTCTTGTTCCAGCACCAATGTGCACCGATGCACATGAGAAACAGTTCGGTGTGGAGTTCCTTCCCAGATCAGATAAGACCTTTGAGATGAAGTAGAGCAATGGCTGTGAGGTAGATCTTCTTGTCCAACATTAGTGTCTGACCTTCCAAATGATATGAAATAATGGTTAAAAAAAAAAAATCATAAAGCCACTTCTAAACCTTGTGGAAAGCCTTCTTGCAGAAGAGTTAATGTTATTCCAAATGGTAGGATAACATCACTTAAAACCCTACAGTTAAGAAATGGGTTTGACAAACAAATCTTTGTGATATTCTGTTTTGCAAGTGGCTACCGTTAAGATTGTAGTGCCCTGGGATGTGAGCCATATTGTCCATATATATAACGGCTACAAATTTTTGTCTTGTATTGTGCGCCTATAATCCAAGTTAGAGTTTTAAAATTTCTTAAACATTAAAGAAGACAATTAATCACTGCCATTAACTGTCATAAAATTATTCTGTTTTTTGTCAGTCACTGCTTATTCATCAGGGTTGGTGTTACTCCCACAATCTGTGTCTTTCCACTACCGACGCAAATGACCTATCAGCCTCCTCGTGGTAGATTTATGATTTCATCACAGTTGGAGACGGGGAAACAGATGTAAATCATAAGTGGGTGGGGTTGAAGGAAAGATGAACCAGCTGCTGACTGGACGGTCTCCATCCATTGAAAAATGAAGAACCAGAAATACCAGAGATGTTCAGGCATCTGTCAAATCATACATATTAGAGTCAATGTCCTGTTCATATTGGAAATCAAACGTAAAATTACATTTCTAGTCAAATTCTTTTTTTTATGTTAATTTTGACACAAGCTCAATTCCCAATCAGGGGGGAAAAAAATCAAGGCATTTCTAAAAACGGTGGACACCCTCGAGACTGATGCAGCATACTAGTTCAAGGGGAACCAAATAACCTTATGGTGCACCAGACAGGTGTTGTAAATTACAGCCAGGTCCGTCCAAAAGCTGTTGGAGGAAATGTCTTAACACCAAGAACACCTCAGCAAAATGAGCCTAAGGCTGCCACAGGTGCTTATGTTTCTAATAGATTTCACAAAGAATATAACTTTGTTTAAAATACTTTTTTCTTTGACAACTGTTGACAGCATGTTAGATGGCTGTGTTAGCATGGAAAACATTTCCATCCCTGCGCCGTCATTTCTACTGCAGAACATCTGTAGGCTTAACCAACATTTGAGGGCATAAAATGTTTGGTTTTGGCATGTACAGTCTTTGTCTTACCCTTGAAACTTTTTCAAATATTTTGTCACTTTACAACCACACACTTCAGGGTAAGTGAAAGAATACATGGGTGGTATGAGTTTCTCTCAATTGGTGGGTTGCTGGTTCGATACATCCTCTTTATCATGTCTTTGGGCAAGATGCCTTGCTTGCTGGTTGTGGGCAGAGGGACTGGTGGCACCTGTGAATGGCAACCTTGCCTCTGTCAGTCTGCTCCAGCATGGCTGTCTGCTGATATGGATGTGTGTGAATATCCGCAATCAAATACCCAAAGTCTTGCCAAAAGCCAGTTGGCTGTTTTGTCAGGATCTTCAAGTAAGTTCAAGTCTAAATGATTAGTTTGGAGGGTGTGTGGTAGTTTTGACTTAGGGATGTGATTTAATTATTATTTCTTCCACCACTTTTATGAGGCCAAATGCAACTTTATTTTCTTTCTTTACAAAAAAAGAAAAAATATACTTACTAGTATCAATATTATACCCACGAAAACATGTTTCATTATTAAAGATGGTCTTTAAGAAAGTATTAAATGAGAACACGTAGGGTCAAACTTTAGAAAGCATTACAACATTTAACAAAAGATGACTTAAGTGTTCTTGCGTTTCAGATTTTTGTTGGCATCAACAAAAATTTCAGGTGCCACTGCAGGTTGTTGAGGTGTAATTCAACAAAAGCAAATCAGTATTTCAAGTATCATGTAATGAATATTCTCCCTCTTGCAGGAAAATGTATGTAGGGGTTTCAAAGTAAGGGGGCTGAATGCCTTTCCATGCCACACCATTCAGATTTTTAAAAATTGTATCATTCTTCCAACACTTCTGAAGTATTTGATAGTTTGTGTTGGTCTTTTAAAGCAAAAAATACAATGACAACTGCTAATAAGAATAATAATTGGTGTACTTAGTTTATCAAGCCACTACAAATAAAGGGTACTCAATGAGTAAGTTAGCAACCCTTTCAGAAATCTGTCGTTTTACAGTGTCGATGCAATAAAACATGGAAAAATATCCTCACACGCAACCTGGAAAGTGATCGCAAAAAACTGATTTTGAAACACTATTTCAAACGAAACGAGGAAAAAAAAAAATCCACGGCTCTCATTTGAGTTTGAACTTTTTTAGCATCTCCGTCTGAAACAGCACTTGGGAATTTCACCGGATCAGCTGTCCCAGGGCTCAGTCCAGTCATGCGCTCACTCAGGCAGCATTCCTCATTTTAAAATGGGAACGCAATAGAAAGTACAGAAAAGCACAACAAAGACAAATTATTTTGTAACAACCTCATAATTTATTTAAATATATCTCATTTTTAAATATATATAGATATACACTTTTACATATGTAACACCTTTTTGCTAAAGGCCAGCCACGTACTTTAATGGTGGATTCTTTCTATGGTTGTGTTTACCGTTATATACATTACCCTCCTGGTCGGACAGATCATGACCTATGATTTATGTACCGCTAAGCCATTTGACGAGTAAAATACATAAACATGGTCGTTACCACATGGTACCCAGGGTTAGTCTATCCACAGGTTGGCTGTGGCTTAAAGCCACCACTTGTGTTTTGCAGAAACATGTTCTTGCAATAATTTAATGACAGTTCATTCTGAGCACAAGTGGGTGACGACGCTGTCACTAGCTGGGGGTCAGCGAAAACTTCTGTTTTTAGATGGTGATAGTGCAGTCGAAGGGCCAATGTCAACCTAAAACACTCAACAAGGGCAAATGTCTCAAAAGGACAGTGATTCTTGTTTCTTATTTGTTTAAGCAACATCCTTTTGAATTCCAGTGCAGTGGAAGAAAAGCGCCCATTTTGCTTATCTTTGCCAGCTCCTCCTCTCTTCACTCTTCACCTGCTCTCTGTTTTCCTTGCCTCAATGCTCCCGTGTAACGACAGCTAACCGTTGAGGCCCAGCCAAAGTTAGCTGCAATTTTCACCTCAGCAGAAGGGATGCGGTTGAAGCAAAACGCTGTTGCCTAAAGTCAGACAGGGCGGTCAGATTTAGGCTTCCCTCTCACTGTCCAAGGCACTTTTTCACCAATATATCTTGTTTTGTATCTTTTCTTCTGAAGTACACATGTTTGACTTCAACCTGCAAAACAGAAGAGGTAAATGTCAGCATGGCCTTCAGGCAAGCAATGCTATGAAACAATCACAAAAGATAAATGAGGAAACTTGATTTGTAACAGAGCTGAAGCTCTCACTGTGCCCTGACAAGGGTCTGTGTGTGTTGATACAGCCAGCATGTTAACACTAAGAGCAAATGTCTGGGTGTTTCTTGAGCAACATGATCTACAATCTGAACCCAGTTCCAATTCATGCTGAGTTTATGAGCTACACCTGATTGCGATCATTTGCTGTTTATGAGTTTGGCAGCGAGGTGGGAAACATCTTAATTATGAGAAAACCCCTCAGTTTTAGGAATGCTCCAGTGCACATAAAAGGCCTGCATGAAAAACCTAACTGGCTTTGATCCATTCTTCTTTGGCAAGTTCTTGAGTTTGTTTTAAACCATTTTAGCACTAAATACTAAGATAATTTTTAGCTCAGAATAACTGGGAATTATATTGTCAGTGTGTTAATTTGTAACACAGTGCAGAGTGATTTCCATAAATAGTCTGACCAGATATGAACGTAAACACCAGTGATCCATAGTTTTGAGGAGCATTTTAGAAAAAAAAAATTACAGTACAACCTTTTGACCTTTTTCTAGATTGTGAAAAATCCTTGTTTTAAAAATGGACCAATAATCATCTGAACAGACTTTTCACCATAGCAAATTCCAATTCAAGTTATTTATTTACAGATTTAATAGCAGTAAACAAATTGTGGAGGCAGTCATTTATCTGACTTGTATACATTGGTTCAGACGGTTTTCAGAGTGTAATGTTTCAATGCAATTCAGAAAAGTTGAGCAGGAAAGGCTGTTGGTTTGCAGTTGCACAGACAAAAGCAACAAAGTGACTTAACTACCGACATAAAATTTTGATTGTAACATTATCTGTCAAGCTATGAATACCTTCCTCTCTGTGATAGTTTTTTTTTCTTTTTTACTATAGCTGTAACTAAAAAAGTTTGATTTTTAGATCTTTTTACTGCTGAAGGCTTGATCGCCTCAAGCAGCAGTGACTTCTTTAGCTCGTTGTGTGTGTGAGTTGAAGCATTGTAGTACCTTTTGAGTATGCACGCGCTACCCCACTGTGCACTGCGGGCTGCCTGCAAGCCGTGTGAGAAGTCGCGCACATCTTTTGAAGTCTGAGAAAGAGAAAACATAAAGAGAAAGACTGAATCGTTTTCTTTTCACGCAGTGTGTTGACGTTGGACGGTGATAGCTTTCCCTCCTGGTGCATGAGGGTCAGGGCAATCATGGCTTACATGCAGGTATCGTGCAGTCTCTGGTGTGATGGTAAAGTCTGTACGCGTTCTTCCTGCACTGGTAGCTGAACACAAGTGGACCTGGCAGAGAAGGAAAAATAGGGTCTTTGAACACATTTCTAACGTTTGCATCCATCTCCATCAACATCTGCTTTGTGGCTTTAGTCTAACTTTAGGAACAATGCATTTTATGTGGGATAAAAAAAAGTATAAGCTAACATTCAAATTGGTAGATTTGTGGTGTGCAAGTATTAGAAAATTTGAAACTAGAAAATATATCATTTAAAAACATCCTAAGCAGGATCAGTTGTTTATTCTATTTTCAATTAGACAATAAATGTAAGTTTAGCCACAAAAACCCTAAAACTCTATCACCTCATAACTAAAGTTGAACCATTGTATGGCAAGCCATTAGAAGTAACAGAATTATGTAAAAATTGCTGTTTAATTAGCCAGATTGCATTATTTTACACTGGTGAGATGAAGTTTAAATGACTCCAAACTTGATGAGCAAAAAAAAAAAAAAAAAAAAACATAATTTCATCAAGTCACTGAAAGCTTTGTTTTATGTCATGCAGCTTATCAATTAATACCATTTAATGAGTAACAGTAACAGTGGCATTTCTTTTACTTCTTAGCAGCAGAGAACAATGTCATCTAATCAATGAACAGCACTTTTCACATTAAGAAGCTCAACCATTAACACTTAGTTACAAACTGCAGAAAAATAGCCAAATAAAAACAATTTGTTTATCTTTTTTATTTTTTTTTCCTCTCATTAGAAAAAAAAGCTGTTTCATCCCTTCATTGCTTTCTACCACTTCCTCCATAAACAGGTTATTCAATAGGAAGCTGCTTCATATAAAATGCCTTTCTGTTTTTTTACCCTCGACACAGGGGCGCTGCCAGGAACCTTGGGCCCTATGACAAATAATTTAATTGGGCCCCCCCACACAGCTGCTGTTACAATTTCTTGGGTCTATCTGTCCCTTCAAAAGCATCACAATGTTAAAGGCTTGCGACTGCCTTGCCTCGCTTTCTTTGGTCCAATACGGATAACTAGCACAGTATTTACTGCTCATGAATTTTACATGCAACAGTCCACATCCAGTATGCAAGTGCTTAAATGTTTTCTATTAGTTTTAGCTTCCTGAAATGTCTCTCCCCATGAGCAACAGTCAAATACAACATGCAAAATACACATGAAGCAATCCAGACTTCTCAAAAACGCTATGTAGTTGCATTTTATTCAGGCTGCAGTTTATAACTTTAATTTTAAAAAATGTTTCCTCCATATTTGTTAAAGCTGTCACCATGTCAGATAATATGTGAAAACAATCAATCTTCTCCACCTGCTCCCTGAGCTACTATTACTGGCTAAAGTAATGCAGCGGTCTGACCAAAACAACCAATCAGAACCGGTAGGAGGGTCTTAGCGCTGTCAATCAACCCCATTCACTCATTGCTAAATGTGCTGATGGGGGGGAAAAACAACTTATCATTACAGGAAAAATTTTCTGTCATTGGTAACTATGCTAACTAGACTGAGTATTCACAACAGGCTGAGCTAACTGCAGGATGAGCCGCCACCTAAGATTGTGATTGACAACTCTCCTGTCTCTGATTAGTTGTTTCTAGATTGTACTGGGAGAAGGCAGAGGAAATAGATTTTTCACAGATTATCTCTCATGCCATACTGTCACAATATAATGACAGTTTTAACATGTAAAAAATTTTAAAAGTTACATACTACAGCTTTAATTTCTCTTAGGAGAGGGAAGGTGAGCAAACCGGAAGTTGTATTTCATATGTTGGATGAACTGAAACAGGAAGTGCAATAATGGGCACAAATAGCTTGCCATAGCCCCCCTCAGCCCCTCCTTGGGATAAACATCAGTCTCAAACTGAAAACACATTCTAGAAAAGAGGACAAATTTGAACAGGTTCTTACCTGTGAAATATTGAATTATTCTCTCTTTCATTTTATAATCTGTGGGGGTTAAAACTGCGGGAGGAGAGAAAAAGAGAGAAAAGGTTACACAGTAATTAAATGAAGGGTATCTCGGCTAACACCAGCACACAAAAGCTCCACCGTGTTGTTATTTATTTGAGCGTCTTCGCCCTGCCACTCACCCAGAGCCTGGTTCCCTTTGTCCGTCTTGCCGCGAAAGTCCCTCCTCTCTACCGACGCGCTGCCCGCCGCCCGCGGCGTCAGCGGCGCTTCCGTTCTCGCTGCGTGTCGACCCCGGTTATTCTCCACGTGCTTCATGATCTCCACCATCCGCCTCGAACTCCGCGGCGCGTCCCCGCCGGCCGCCGCGGTGGGCGCGCTCTCTCCACAGTGCTCGGTCAGAGCGCACATCAATAGCAGCAGTCCCACAACGACGGGTTTGCGCGGTGCGCTCATAGCTCCAGTGTAGTGAGGAAAGTGGAAAGTGGACTCAAGGAGGAAAAAAAAAATAAAATAAAAAATAAACTCTCTTCTTTTTGGGGACCTGAGGGATGAGATTGAGGACGAATTTGAAATATTGGCTCTCTTAAATGACCAGAAAAATATTTTTAAGGATAGAAGCCTAACATGTCCATGCAATTTTAACGCACGTTTAGCTCAAGCATCTTAGGTATTCAATAATAAAATCAGAAAGTAATCGTAACACTTTTTAATAAGTATGTTTTAAAATACAGTTTTAGTTGTGAAAAGTGTCATTACCTTTTCAAAGTTCTCTTACGCTCTGACTGCGTCCGGTGCGTCCTGCCAAAACCATGCACATGTGCGTAACTTTTCTCCCCCTCTCTGTTGCGTTCCCGTCCGGATCCCGGTAAGTGTTCACTTTTTTAAAAAAGTCGGTTCCTGTTTGCGTGGAGTTAAAGCTACGGAAGTCATTTGTGTGGTCGCCGATGGTTGATGATCATCCCTCCAAAGAAGAAGCAGCTGATATTATCCCGTGTGGCGCTCCAAGTTCCAAATTTGCCCCCTCTTGTGCGTCCAGTCGCTTTTTATTCTATCTCCCCGACGGCGGGGTGGGGGGAGGACTGTCCCCTGTGGACTACTCCACAAATTTATGTGGTAATTATAGGAAACGATACCTGAAGAGGAGAGTTAACACGAGTTGTCCGATCATCCCTTGAATACCGTGTCAAGTTTACTGAGGCCCCCCTCCCTCTCCTCCTTTCCGTTACTCCATTTATCTGTGCGATATACGCGGTTACAGGAAGCGTCCGTCTTCCACTAATACTTCCACTGAAATTTCCAATCAGCCCGGCGTGCAGCGCAGATGCAGCGCATGTTAGTGGAAATGCTGCCACATGCTTCCTAGGATCCTCATAACCTCATTTAGAGCCATTGCGCGCTTTACATCCATCATGGAAAATTCAAACCCAATTATGCACCTTTTAGGGGCAATTCTTTGAAAATTGATTGTTTTGTTTTGTTGTTGTTGGGTTTTTTTTTTTTTTTTTTTTTTTTCTCGACAGAGCAAAGCCTTTGGTCGAGGTTCGTCCTCGCTGGAGATCAGTGTGCACTGGCCTGCTGCTGTGGCTGCAGCAGCTTTCTTAAAAGTCGGGGCGTGCGAGTGGCTCCCACGCCCACTGCTTCCAATCTCACAAACCTGCAAGGGGAGACATCACTTTGAGAAGAAAAGATTCATTCACCCCAACTTCTGTATCCTGCTAAGAGAAAGCAGGATACGTGAGCTACTTGGATTCTTTATGAAACCAACCCAAATATCTGGCGCATAGTTTGCTTTTTTTTATGTCATAATCGGATAACATCATTTTATGAACATAGTCTTGTCATTTCCCTGCAAAGTTCAGCGAGGAAACGACCACAGCGCCTTGATTGAAAGAACAGACTCTGGGTGCTGAAAGGACAGCGCACTGTCACCATCACTGAACTGTCTCAGGGCGTCTGCACAAAGTTCTTGAAAGGTTGGCCACAGGTGGAGTGGCCGACGAGGAGAGAGTTACTCTTTACAAATAGACGATGACAAAATACAGGCGATATCTGGTTTCCTTGCTGATTCATACCGTCATCAGCAGATTCGATCCTGTTCTTATGGGAATCGGTAGTCTAACTTATGAGGAAAAAAAACCCCACCGAGGCAGGAACATATTTGCTCTCCAATGAGCACGCATCAGCAGATTTAGAGCAGAGGTTTGCGTACGAAGAGAGTTAATGGGTTCTGACTGCATTTATATATTTTTTGACAGCAAAATTTTTTTTTTCGTATCAACTGAGATGTTCAAACGATGACAGTTTCAGACAGACAAACAGATTTGTTATTCATTTTGGCCTACGACATTCTTTTTTTTCTTTTTACAAATAAATGAAGAGATTAGCAGTTTCAGCAGAGGGCGTCATTCTGCAGTTGCTGCACACACTCATGCTTTTCACGTTAGTAAATCCTCAGCAGTGCATCTGAGCCAGCATGTTTGAGGAAATTTGACTCATGAGATATTTACATACAAATGGATGACCAAAGTACTGTTGTGAAAACCAGTAAGATCAAATTACACCACCGTCTGCTTCGTTGGTCAGCTGTGTGCCTTGCATCATAACAGATCTCACTCACCCAGGTCACTGTGTAGCGTAGGAAGAGTGAGAGGTTTGGAAAAACTTAAATACAAAATAAAATAAAAAAAACATGTTTGAGACACAAGACCTGGGAACTTCCTACGACATTTTCAGAAAGACAAAAAGAAACCCTATAAGTGTTGGCTTAGATCACAAATAAAGACGAACAAAGTTCATATTTTAAGTTTTTTCCTAGCATTTGGAATGAATGAAAAGAGCAAAAAGGGTTTTCGAATCATGCATTTTGCAGTTCACCGCTGCTGGAAATGTCTGAGAATCCTTTTTGTTTCTCACTGTGCCTTTATCGGTCACATTTTTACATGCAAAAGAAATTATGAAGGGCTTAAGAAAACGTGCCATTTGAATATTACCTTGCTTAACCTCAATAATAGCCTTAGTCAACTTTCCTTTGTGGTCACATGTGAAACAGTGCTCTCTGCCATGTTTCATTCAGTGAGTCAGGCTCATGTGAGTTCAAGTGAACCATGACTGGCAAAACTTTCCAGATCTGATGGGGTTGTGTTGCTTCTTTCAACATCGTATTGTCACACTTTCTATTTCCAAAAGACCTTTCTGCAGTTTATCTGCTTGTCATTAGCGGATGTTGTCATCCTTCCAGGAAGATGGTTGTTTCTTGTCCAATTTGATTCTTTCTCTTTTTGACTTTGAGAAAACAGAATTGTTCCATCCTTTCATAAATGTTGAAATTTATTTAGCTTTGATTCATTCTCTCTCACCCCCCCCCCCCCCTCTTCATTTGTGGGGTTGGCTAAACTCACAGCACTAATGGTTTTGACTTTTAAAGTGAACTCTGGGGTTGAAAACACATTTTCTAAATTAGGTGAAAACAGGAAACATGAACTTTCAGTTTCTCAAAGGAATTGGTGTTTCATCACAAAAAAGTGAACATCTGTGGAAAGAATATTCACATAAACAGATGTTTTTATAATTCATTTCTGTTTTTCTTTTTCTCAAATTAAAAAAATGATGTGAATCATTCCCAATTAATGGAGAACACAGTTAAGTTTTGCAAAAGCCTACAATATGGGGAAGACGTTTCCATATACCCATCATCAGATGAGCTCTTGGACACTATTGTTATCAAAAATCAGAAAGTCCATTTGGATTTTGTTTTCTGCCACGGACTCAAGCTTAAGCACAGTTTATATATTTTGACTAATACTGAGATTACCACCATTGCAGAGACCTAATGCAACCAGTTTTTTTGTCCGGTCCTAATGTTAGCAATTTCTTTTTTTCTTGCAGTGGTTTTGTGATCATTTTCCTCCCAAATTCAATTGTCCACCTGCTGGTTTGAGGTAAATCGCATTTACTGGCATTGAAACACAACTTCAGCATGACACTACCACACTTGACATTAGGTGCAGTGTTTCTTTAAGTTTGAAATGCTCCCTCTGACTCCTCCAAACTTTTTTTTGTCTCATCTAAGATATGTCTTTGTGAAGATATATTTTCATCAAGTTTCCTAGTTGAGTATCGCTAAAGGTCGTGCTCATCCACTCTACCTAAAGGAAAAGAAGATGATAATGAATAACTTGTGCCTCATAATAAGTTACAACAACATGTGATTAACAGCAAACACACCCTGATCCCAGCAATGTTCGGGTGCCTTTTCAACACTTGCAGATACATGTAGAAAAGCAATAGAAAACTTGTTCAGTGTACAACTGGCAGAACAATTGAAATGGTTTTCAAATGCCACACTGGGCAGCGGCCCGTTCAGCACACAGCAGAGCACACAGATCCAAAACACAGATTCAATCTGGTTTAGAATGGATGAGGTAGGATGATGATAGATGTCTGAAATTTTTGGACCTTGTTTAAAATTCAAGTCATTTCCAGAAAACCAAAGAATATAAATAAACTAGATCAATTATGTCAATGAGAGTGGTCTGATATTCTGCCACAATCATGCTAAACTCTTATTGATAGTAACAAGATGGGTTTCAATATGACTTTCAGGTACCTGAAAACTGCATGTAAACTGCTGCATACATCTATATATGGTGGTAATTTGAACATTAACTCATTTCAGCATTTAGACATTAAATATTTTATTTCTAATTTAACTTTTTTTTATTTGTTTGGTACAGTAGCAATTTCTTTTCTTAGAATGGCAATCATCCTTTTCTTGTCTAAAAGCAGTAGATATCTGGAGCTTTTATAGTTAAAGATACTTTCATTAACGTAACTCAATCTTTTCATATTCTAAATAATCTAAATAAATCTAAATCTAAATTGGTTTCACTTTTGAAAACAGTTTTATTATGCTCTGGGATCTCATTAATATTCTTATTAATTTTTTAAAAAACATTCTCAAATACTAGCTTCAATGCTGATGAAAATCTATTATTTTGTCCTACACTTTATAAAAGAAAACATTGAACAGTGTGACATGAATTCTCTGTATTGTGTGACATCATTTCACAATGCTGTTCTGTGCAGTTGTAAATCAATTCTGGAGTCTCTGCTTTCACTTGTGACATCATTTGTCTATTATGAGAGATTTTATTATACAGCGAACTTCCTTGAAATTTTGTACACATTCTTGAATCTTGACCTATGCTTGCGACATCATTGTCTTCCAATGGGTGACATCACAGTATGTTTACATTGACTTTTGCCAAGAAGATTTTGGCTGTTACCTGTAACGTCGCTTTTGACTTTTGCTTGAGACGTCTGTTGACATAAGTCTTTAAGAGGTTTACAGAATTTAGATTTTTAACTGTGACTGGATTGCAAGACTCTTTGGTCATGTTCTTGAATTTTTAAAATTATTCTCGAATGCTTTGATGTGTGAGATCATTCTACCACGGTATTCTCAAAATTTCTGAAAACACTCTAGAAGTCTGGTTTTTACTTTTAACAGTGTTCCTTCACTCTGATGGTTTCGGTATCTTGAAGCCAAGTGTGTTGCTGTTCAACCATGTCTTCCCTGGCAGGAACGATTCTTCTCTGCATGGTTGTATTTTTGAAAGAAGCCAATCAAAAAATAAATAAATAAAAATAGTTAAACTCCTTCTGTTAGTTTTGTGTGGACATATTTCAATGCAGCACTTCTGGTGTGTGTTAATAGAAGGAACTCACACAAGCGCACTGCTGCGTATTTAAAGTCTAATTTGATTGCTTTACACACACTGTTAACATGAACATGAACATGATTCTGTTGTTTATTCCTTGCTTGTTGGACACTCTCAAAGTCTTCCTCACTGCAGCAGAGACTTTTATCCTGAAATATTTGTTGTCTTAAAAGCTTCAATATCTGCACAATACACTTGAAAGCAATTTTCTTTCACATGAGAGTTTTTTTCTTTTTAATGCAAAATAATAATGGCTTCCTGCTTTATTTAGCGATGACTTAACCAAAAGAAACAATCAGTTTTCTAGTTTCAATGTGATCTCAAGCACTTTAAAGACTTTAGAGCCTTGCGTGTGCATATAAAATAATTGCAAAAAAGGAAGAAAAAAAACCATCAACAAAGTTTTGTCGCAAACTTTAATCTCTGCGACAAATGAATCTGTTCATTCTTCTCCCTCATCAAAAAAAACAAACAAAAAACTGCATAATTTCTTGCCATAGAAAATACTTTTTTTCTTTGAATTAAAATCTTAACCATGCAAGACATACAGACAGAAGTTCGTTGCTGACAAACTAACAACCATTTTATGGGCTATGTAAATTAACAAAAGATGTATTTTGTGTGAAGAAAAATAGTCAAAACACTTGACAAAAATTTCATGTTGAAGGAGAAACCGTAATAAATGTTTTCTGCTGATATTTTTTCCTGCTGCCAAAATCTGACTTGTAGATGACGACTGTGCTTATTATCCCAACTC